GACCAGAGAGGGACAGAGAGAGAGAGAGAAAGTAAGAAAGCAAGCCGCCAGGTCCAGGACTTGAACCGCAATCAGCCATGTGGGAGTCCAGCACCCTTAACCACCATGCCACCTGCTGGTCCCATTATTACTATTTTTTAAGTTTGGCCAGAAGGAGAGAGAGAAAGGGAAAGTGAGAAAGCAAGTCATTAGGGGCCAGCAGGTGGCGTGTTGGTTGAAGTGCTGGAATTCCCACATAGCTGACCACAGTTCAAGTCCTGGACTTGGCAGCTTTCTCTCTCTCTCTCTCTCTCTCTCTCTCTCTCTCTCCCTCCCCCTCTTTCTGTCTTTATCTGGTAAAACTCATGTGATAAAAAAATAAGTAAATAAATAAATAATTTAAAAAAAAAGAAAGGAAGCCATCAGGTCCAGGGCTTGAACCACTGTCATGTGGGCGTCCAGCACCTTGACCACCATGCCACCTGCTGGCCCCCCTCTCCTATTCTTAATCTGTTGGCTGATTTTTCTCCCAATATCTGCTGCTTAAGCTTGGAGGTTATTTACACTTCTCTCCTTGGTCATCTCACTTTGTATTTTTACTTCCACAGTTGTTTATATTACATTAATGACCAGTAGTTCCATACCATTCCTGTTTTCCATCTGTACTGCCTCCTCCCCCCACCCCCCGGGGTTTCATCTCTATCAGTAGCTATATAAACTATAGACTTCCCCTGATTTTCTTCTGGGCTTGAAATTCCTCTTGCTAAATGCCTTTGAACTTTCCTGCCTGATTGCAGGTATTTCAGATCCACTTCTCTAACTAAAATACTTCTCTCTTTCTGTGTGCTTATCTTGTGTTCCCTGTCTCTACCGATGCCATTTCCACCTACCTAGTCCCTCATGCTGGAAGCCTCAAGTCCTTGTCTCTTTCTTGACCATTCACATATAATTTGTAACGAAGTCCTATCAATTCAGCTTCTAAAATATCTTTCTCATACATCTATTTTTCACTGCGATGCAGTCAAGTTTCTTAAAAATGAAACATCTGGTTGTGTCACTTCCTCAATCTTAACAATTTTTATGACTTTCTGTTGCCTTCAGGATAAAGTCTAAAGTTCTTGGCATGGCAGAGTTCTATACAACCTGTTCCTAAAACTAACTTATAAACTGTTTAAGGTCAAAGTCTAGATCTTACTAATTACAGTATTGCCACAACAGAGGATCCAGGGGGGGGAAAAAAAATATATATAATATGTATATATATTATATATTTACATATATAATATATATACATGAATATGTATAATGTATACACACACATATATACATAAATATATATACATATATTTTTTTTAGGGGGAGAGGTTTTTGCTATAGGGTGTGTGCGCTTGTCAGAATATATTAATAATAGGATTTTGATAATTGCTTGTGGGATGAATGTATTGAAAGTGAAATGAAAGGAAACCTTCAGCTCTCGCTGAGTTTGCAGGGCTCTCATGTTGTCTTGTGAACTGCAAATTAAGAAGTTGTTAAATTGTTAAGAACTCATTTCTGGAGTCAGGCTGATCATGTTCATATCCTCTCTGTAACACACTCTAGCTGTGGCTATCTCCTCACCTGTAAAGTGGTGTTGAAGGAGTGACCAAAAGAATTAAATCTAAAGTACATATCATAGGTCTGGCATATTGTAATCATTTTAAACTCTCATACAATGTGGAATGTATTTTTTTTTAATTTGCTATAGAATATACTTGCCAGAGAGAGGAGGAAGAGAGAAAGTGAGAAAGCACTCCCTCAAGGGAGATAATACCCCTTCTCCATTCTCTCAGAATTTTGAGCATGCACACACATGTGCCTGACATGTCTTTCACGATTCCAGGTTACGCAGTCAGCCACAGGATCCAGCCATCTCAGCCACCATGCCACCTGGCTGGTCTAAATGTGGAATTTTTTTTCCTTAAGGTTTTTGCCATAGGGCATATGCGCTTGCTGTAGATGAAGGAGACGGAGATAATAGAGGGAAAGTGAGAAATCACCTCTGAGGGGGGATGGCCACACCACAGTCCCTTCTCCATTCTTCTGGGATTTGGGGCATACGTGCACATGTACCTAGCATGATTTTCTTTTTTCTTTTTTCCTCTCTTTTTTTTATTCTCTCTCTCTCTCTTTTTTTCTTTATTTTTGGAGAGGTTTTTGCTATAGGGCACATGTGCTCACCAGGAAGACAGAGAGAGAGAGAGAGAGAGAGACAGAAAGTGAGAAATCACCCCCCAGGGGGAATGTCCACACCGCAATCCCTTCTCTTCCATTCTTCTCTCGGGATCTTGCGCATGCATGCACATGCACCTGATGTGAGTTTAAGCCACCGGGTCTGGGACTCGAACTGCAGTCGACTACATGGGACTCCAGCGACATAGCCATTACACTAACTGCTGGTCCTGTCCTAGCATGATTTTCAAGCCACTAGGTCTAGGGCTCAAACCACAGTCAGACATGTGGGAGTCCAGTGCTCCAACCACTACTACGTGATCTGTTGGATCCCAGGGTGTATTTTTAATAATAGTAATATTCTTTGGTGATAGTTACACTCTGAAGTCAGAATGAGCTACAAAAGTGACTTGTTCTCAAATTATTTTCCTAAGAAAACTCTAGCTTGATTAAGTTAATTGCATTTTAGCATCGACAGTAACTATCAATCTATTTTCATCTATTATCTGTGAGGAATATCTGTTTTGTTTTTCTAACACCAATTTTAATATATGATTTTTAAGGTATATTTATTTATTCCTTGGGAAAGGGAGACGGGGTGAAAAAGAGTGAAAGGACACCACGAAAGAAACCTTCATGGCAAAATCTTGCTTCATCCTCAGCCAGCCAGGATCATGGGCAGTGTGCATGCACTTCTAAAGTGCACAGTGAGAACTCAAGATGTGAACCTGGGTCCTTTCCCATATGGTATTAGCATCATGGAGTGTTGGGTTACAATGGTGCCTCTGAGGCAGGCCTATTATTACTGTAATTGTTCTTGTTAATCATTCTATCCTTTGCAAAAACTGAGTTTTAAGACTGCAACAATGGGACTGGTTCCATAGCCCACTGGTTAAGGGATTCACATTCCACATAGCTGATCACGGTTCAAATCCACATGGTTGATCATGATTCAAATCCTGGTCTAGTGGCTTGAAGAACACACTGGGCCCATGTGTGTGTATGCATGGTCAAAATCCCAACAGGATGGTGCAGTGGAGGAGAAAGGATTGCAGTGTGACCATGCCCCTTTGTGGGGTGCTTTCTCCCTCTTACTGTCTGACAAGAGCATATACCTTCTGTCAAAAAAGGAAAAAAAAAAAAAATTGAACAGTGATACCAAAAGAGAAGCTGGAGATAAATCCAGGATAAAAATAAAAAATAACTCAATGGAGACTGGACTGAGAGTTGTTTTTTTTTAATATTTATTTTTATTTATTCATTTTAATTTGACCAGAGAGAAAGAGAGGGAAAGTGAGAAAGCAAGCCACCAGTTGTTTCAGGACTCAGTCTGTGGTTGGCTGTGTGGGAATGTCCATTCCCCAACCACCACACTACCTGCTGGTCCCTTTTTTGTTGTTGTTTTTATTTTTTATTTCCTTTTTTTGGGGGGGTGGGGGTTGGGGAGAGGTTTTGCTATAGGGCGCGTGCGCTTGCCAGACAGAGAGAGAGAGACAGAGAGATAGAAAGCGAGAGATCACCCCCCAGGGGGGATGGCCACACCGCAATCCCTTCTCCATTCTCCTCTCGGGATCTTGGGCACACATGCACACGTGCCCGGCATGAGTTTAAGCCACCAGGTCTGGGACTTGAACCGTGGTCGACTACGTGGGAGTCCAGCGATATAGCCATTACGCTAACTGCTGGTCCCTATTTTTTATTTCTGAGAGCTTTTTGCTATAGAGTGCATGTGCTCGCTAGAGACAAAAAAATGAAAAATCAATCCCCAGGGGGTTGGCCATGCCACAGACCCTTCTCTGTTCTCCTCTTGGGATCTTGGGCATGCACGCACATGTACTTGGCATGAGTTTTAAGCAGCCAGGTCCAGGATTCAAACCACGGTCAACTGCACAGGAGTCCAGTGACATTACGCCATCTGCTGATCCCAAGACTAGGAGTTTAAGGAAAGTAAAATCTAAAAACAGTTCTCATTTTATTCAGTCACTCATCAAGTATTTATTATTCCCTCATTCTTATATAGGGCACGGTAGGCAATGGGGAAGGTAGAAACATCAGAATTATTTACAGCCTAGTTTCTCACTGTGAGATTTTTTTGTTGTTGTTAGATGATTGTAGTTTTACAGGTAATTGTTAGAAATAATACAGAGAGATTGCTTGAACATCACTACAGGGATTTTAAAGTCTCATTAATATAGTTCCTGGGACCGGCAAGTGGCATGGTGGTTAAAGGCACTGGACTCCCACATGGCCAACCACGGTTCAAGTCTCAGACCTGGTGTCTTGCTTTCTCACTTCCTCTCTCTCTCTTTCTCTCTCTGATCAAACTGAAAAATAATAATGATAATAATGATAAATAAAGTTAAAATAATTCTTTTTAAAAAAAGAAGATAGTTCCTTGTGTAATTGGTATGAACTCACAGGTAGAAAACACTTTATCGATTCAATAAATCTGACATTATTTTGCTTATAGCTAGAGCAAATTTTATGCAGGTGACAGTATTTAAGCCCAACTGCAAAGGATGAGTAAACAATTTTGATAGGTTGAGAATGAAAGGAGAAAACGAAAGACCCAAGACCACAACCATAGTAAAAGGGAGGACCTGAGTGTTCTCAGGGAACAACAGTGAATAATTTAGACTTTTAAACTGCAGGTTGATTCCTTGTTGTCTCAAGTTTCTAGAACTAGGTAATGATAGACCTATTGTTAATTATTACATATTTTGTTTTTGATGTAGAATACTTTGATTCTACTGATTCTACTAACACTTTGAGTCTGATTTGCTGAAAATGATTGGTTTTGTATGTTCTTTTAGAATGACATTAGAGAACGGCAAGAACACAGTGATAGGCGGAGAGTTGGCAACCCTGAACCATTGTCTAATGGACGACCCCAGGGTAACACACGGCAGGTGGTGGAACAAGATGAAGAAGAGGATGAGGAGCTGACGTTGAAATATGGAGCCAAACATGTGATCATGCTTTTTGTCCCTGTGACACTCTGCATGGTGGTGGTTGTGGCTACCATCAAATCGGTCAGCTTTTATACCCGGAAGGATGGGCAGCTGTATGTATCAGTGTTTTGTTTTATTATTCTCAGCACCACTGTGGCTTTTCTTCATAGCATGTTACCATAACCTTGAAGGTCTCTACACTTAAGGGGCATGAAGGCTATAATCCATCCTCTCTGATGGTCAGAGCAGTTGAGAAAGCAAGGGGTTATACTTGACACTTTAAGTGTGTTACCAAACTTAATGAGGTTCAGACTGGGAATCATTCACTCACCAGCCAGAAAATCCAAATATCCAGCAATGAGTTTGTCCAAGAGGAAGGTTTTATTATGGGTGACATTATACAGGAGACAGCTAGATTTGCTCAAAAGACCATCTTCCTGGGACCAGCAGTTAGTGTAATGGCTATGTAACTGGACTCCCATGTAGTCGACCACGGTTCAAGTCCTGGACCTGGTGGCTTAAACTCACCCCGGGCACGTGTGCATGCATACCTAAGATCCCAAGAGGAGAATGGAGGAGAAGGGATTGCAGCGTGGCCATCCCCCCTGGGGGGATGATTTCTCGCTTTCTGTCTGTCTGTCTCTTTCTGGCGAGCTATAGGAAAAAATTTCTTAAAAAAAAAAAACAAAACACTTCCTGTTACGGGGATTTTTTTTTTTTTAAAGAATTATTATTTTTATTATTTATTTAATTTGACCAGAGAAAGACAGAAAAGGTAAGAAAGCAAGCTGCCAGGTCGGGGACTCAAACTGTGGTTGGCCATGTAGGAGTCCAGTGTTCTTAACCACCCTGCCATCTGTCAGCCCCAGGGGGTGGGCTTTTAATAAAGAAATACTTCCCATCCATGTTTTCAGCTGGGTCTGTGTATGTAAATGAAGGATTGAAACTTGTGAAGCTCTTGATTGGTCAACGCAAGCAGAAGTCTCTGGTTCATTATTAAAACGTACTGTTCTGATTGGTTGCTCTGCTGCAGCCAGCATCCATACTCCCTCCCTTGGGTGGGGATCAACCTTAACCTCAGGTCACTCAGCCTTCCCTGTGCTTGTGCCCTTTGAGCAAATCCGAAAAGTAACAATCAGCGCCAGGTGTCTCCCTCCCAGGGTAGTTCTGGCCGAGTGCAAGTGGTGAAAATGAACACTGCAGAATTAGGCTTCCTAAAGGATGTCACTGGACAGAACTCAACTTCTTAGGAATTAAGCAAGTGAAGAGTTATCTCTCCCACTTCAGGGCTGTTGGCCATTGTTCTGTGTGGAACATCCTTTCCATTTCTAATTTTGGTGGATTAAATTCCTTTTATCCTCTTATCTAACTTAAATATAAAATCCTCTAAGATAACTTCTGATACTCCTCACAGAATTAAGTTCTTCCTGGTATTCATTCACATAGCAACCTGGTCTTTTTCATTTGTTACAGTTTTCAAAAATATATATGTACTTAACATTATTTACTTAATCCCTGATTTCCTTCTTGACTTTAAGGCCTGTGAGGGTACTTTGTTTCCAGAACAAGGTACACAGTAATTGCTTGTCCAAAAACAGTTAATGGAAGGGATGAATAACTAATGTAAGCTGGTGTTCTCCAGATTCTTGGAGAGATGTCATATGGATTCCCTGGTGCTCTTGGTGTCAGCCGTTCACTTCTCAAAAAAGATGATTCAATTCGAATGTCATGTAGTTCTGTCTCTAGGACTCCCATGGGGTTCAAAGAAGAGTTTTAGAGTTTGAAATTGGGAAGTGTCTGCTAACTGCATTGTGTTCTGAAAGCCAAACACTTAGCCTTTTGGGAAAAGTGCTAAGAAAGACTAAAGGGTAGGGGTTGGAGAAAGTAGCCAGAAGGATTAGGGAATATTATCTGTACAAGTTAGGGTTGGTTTGGCTTTGTATTATAGGGTTGGCAAGCTACAGTGCACAGGCCACATCTGCCTGCCACCTGTTTTGTGAATAAGCTTTGATTGGAACACAACCAGGCCTATTCATTTATATATTCTCTGGCTGTTTTCACAATACAAAGGCAGAGCTGAGTGGTTGCAATGGAGACTTTGTGACCCACAGAGCTTAAAGTATTTACTGGCTCGTCTTTTACAGAAAATTTGTTCACTGTGTTACAGAAAATTAAAATAACTGGTTTGAATGGTACACATATTCTCTCTCCCATAAAGGAGTCCAGAGGTAGGCAGTCCAGATTGGTGCGGTGGCTTCCTGTTCATCAAGGATTTGTGCTCCTTCACTCTCTTCAGCTTCTATCCTATAGGGGTCTCTCTCCTTCAGGGTCCAGAATGTAGCTTTAGCCTCTTTCAGATAGCAGAAAGGAGGGGAAGGACAAGGACATAGGACTTCTCTCAGTAGAATTTACTCTGATTGGAAATCCCATGCACACATAGCTCATCTGCTTACAACTCATTGGTCATTACTTAGCCCTATGGCCACACCTAATTTAAGGGAGTCAGAAATAAAGTTGGCTGAGAACATTGGCATCTGGGATGAAAATATTTTTAGGTGAATGAGAAACAAGATAGATTATCTCAATACTGTTTTGTTGTAGTCATCCTACCAACGACAGTATTTGTAAGCTACTGCTGTCTTCCTCTGATAACCACTTGTTGCCCAGCAGTTTGTGTGGCAGAGTCTGGTTCTTTAACATGTTACTTATAATATGGAGAGAAAAATACTTGAACTATGTCAGTATAAAGCTGCCACTAGGTGGAGCCAGCATCTGACGCATAGCATTAGTCCTTGTTTATCTGAGATACTTCCTTTTAATATCTTAGATATTTCCTTTTAGAAGGAGTTTAGATTGTAGCTATTTTTCTTAGGTTAAAAATTTTAGCTAGATTGGCGAGGTGAGAAAGAAAGACTTATAAGGTATTTATCGAATCAAGGAAAGCAAATTATGTGTTTGGGATATCCATTAACACTTACCCAGGACCTTTGTGTTTTGTTTTGTTGTAGAATCTATACTCCATTCACAGAAGACACCGAGACTGTGGGCCAGAGAGCCCTGAACTCAATTCTGAATGCTGCCATCATGATAAGTGTCATTGTCGTCATGACCATCCTCCTGGTGGTTCTGTATAAATACAGGTGCTATAAGGTGAGCATGAGACACAGCTTTGCTTTTCACCTTGTTCATTTTATAATTGGGTTTTCCTACCATATACCTTACTTGGTAAAGAAAAGTCTAGTAAAGAAAAAGGTATTTACAGTATACTTATGACATTCCGAAGAGTTATGCCTTAAAACCTTTATGACTCCCTTCCGTCACAAATGATACGATGGAATATGTTGGGTTGTCGGAAAAGTGACACATTTTTGCATAGAAAAATACGTCATGAATTTTCTGTCAACTCAGTAATTGTCCCCCTGGGGCCAGCAGGTGGCATGGTGGTTAAGGGACTCCTGCATGACTGATCATGGTTCGAGTCCTGGAGTTGGTGGCTTGCTTTCTCACTTTCCTTCTCCCTCTTTCACTCGCTCTGTCCCTCTCTGGTCAAACTAAAATAAGTAAGTAAATAAATAAAGTTAAATAAAATAATTTTTAAAAAATAGTAATAATTGAGTCAGTAGGTGGCATGGTGGTTAAGGTACTGAACACTCCCACATGGCCGACCAGAGCTAGCGGCTTGCTTTCTCACTTTCCTTCTCTGTGTGCCTTTCTCTGGTCAAATGAAAATGACTGAATGAATAAATAAAATTAAATAAATAATTACTAAAATAATAATAATTGTCCTCCTTAGCCAGAAACCTGGGCTTATTTTCCTAGTGTAGGTCCAAGAGGTGGGACATATAAAGCAACTTTTTGCCCTTCTGTCTGGGACTACAGCTCCTTTAGTTGGAGAGGAAGGCTGCACTTTCTAAATTTGAGGTTCCTATTGCCTCCCTTGGCAAAAATAGAATTGTTTAGGGACTGGGCATGAGAGAATGTAGGAAAGAAAAGCTGGACTTTCACATCTCTTTCTGCTAAGAGACCCCTTTCCTGCTCTTCAAGAACTTATGGAGCTCCCTTTGTCTTGCTCGGTGGACGAACAGGGTACTAGAAGGAAAAAAGTGCTAAATTCAGTGGTACTTCTAATTCCCAGCACACCTACCTCTGTACCTCTTCACTGTCCTCAACTAGCTGTTGCATGCTTCTTGTTTAGGTTTTGTAGTTGTATTCAGTGGGACAAACGGGAAGCATGTGCTGATTCCATTTGATCTGGAACCTATCTACATGCATTTTTGGTCAGTTTTATGCATCTTTTAGTCAAACTTCTTCATTTTGGGCAGTCTAAAAAGTTTGTATTCAGCTAGATTTTCACCTTGTTCATTTATGTTGTCTTGCTTTTTTAATGTTCAAGCCTTAGTAAACACAGCCAGTTCTATAGAAATAGTTGTTTACTTTCACTCTCAGTATAAAGTAAGAGGAGCTTTTGAGTCGGAAATTAAGACACTTGTTAGGACCTGTTTGGAAGTAAACCCTGAAGACTTCTCATATCAGTGGTTATTGTGTAATGTCTCTAAGAAGCACAAGAAACTAAAAGACCAACAAACCTTTTAAAGATAGAAACAGAAATGGCAGTTAATTATTACACATCATTTGTTGTAGGTAGAACTATAACTTATTAAAGTCATGTGATTTCTGGCCTAGTTAGTTCAAGATTTAGAAGAGATACTTGTCGGGACCAGCAGTTGGTGTAATGGCTATGTTGCTGGACTCCCATGTAGTCGACCACAGTTTGAGTCCTGGACCCAGTGGCTTAAATGTACACCGGGCACGTGTGCGTGGCGCCCAAGATCCCAAGAGGAGAATGGAGGAGAAGGGATTGCAGCATGGCCATCCACCCTAGGGGGGGGTGATTTCTCACTTTCTGTCTTTCTCTCTCTCTCTTTCTGGCGTGTGCACACACCCTATAGCAAAAACTTCTCAAAAAACAAAAAACAAAAAAAAAAAGAAAAACTTGTCTGGTTTTTTTTTGTTGTTGTTTTTTTTGGTTTTTTTTGGAGAGGTTTTTCGCTACAGGGCGCGTGCGCTCGCCAGACAGACGGAGAGAGACATAGAGACAGAAAGCAGGAAATCACCCCCCAGGAGGGATGGTCATGCCACAATCCCTTCTCTTCCATTCTCCTCTTGGGATCTTGGGCACGCACGCACACGCGCCCAGCGTGAGTTTTAAGCCACCGGGTCTGGCACGCGAACCGCAGTTGACTACGTGGGAGTCCAGCGACATAGCCATTACGCTAACTGCTGGTTCCCAAGAAGAAATACTTGTCACTGTATACTGAAGCCAGCACTTTTATCTCAGAACCTTTAGCACAAACCTGAACTAGAGAATTTTACAAGATGAAAAAGGCCTGTTTAAAACCATTTCATGTTTTACATGGGAGTGTTCTTTAGTTATTAGAAGTTTTGAATTCACCTAATTCAGAAAATCATAACATAAATGACCGAACCAAAAAGGAAACCTGTTTCGTAATATAACCATATTACAGGCAAAGGGCTAATGTTTTTATGATATGAAGAACACTTACAGATATCCTAATCAAAAAGCCTTAACAGAGAAATTATGAAGGAAATACAGATGACTAATAAATTAGGTAGATGGATTAATGTATATGTATATGTGTTTCCCCACTAGTAGAAATAGAAATGCATATTAAATAACAAATTAGCAGAGTTGGCCCCATGGCCTACTCTAGTTGTTAAGGGAGCTGGATCCCACATGGCCTAATGTACCGTTCAAATCCTGGCCCTGATGGCTTGAAATCACACGAGGCATGTATGTGTGCATGCCTAAAATCCCAATAGGATGCTGAAGAGATTGAGGTGTAACTGTGCCCCTTTAAGGGTGTTTTCTCCCTCTCCCTTTATTTCTCTGTCTCTCTGGTGAGTGTGCATGTCGTCTGGTAAATCAAAAGTAAATTAAAAAAAAAATCTTTGCACATCTCTTCATTTACGAATAGAAAACATGTTTGAAAGGAAAATGAAATATGGTATTCTATATTAACCTCTAAATAAATAAATTTTCATTGGCTGTCAGGGGCCACTGAAAACACTTTGCTTTTTTAGTATTTCTGTGTTTATTCTAAATGTTATACTATAAGTTTTCATTACTTTTGTATTCAGGAAAATGTTGAGAAGAGAATGGAGGAGAAGGGATTGCGGTGTGACCATCCCCCCTGGGGGGTAATTTCTCGCTTTCTGTCTCTATGTCTCTCTCTGTCTGGCGAGCGTACACGCCCTATAGCGAAAACCTCTCCCCCCCCCAAAAAAAAAAAATAGACTAATGATAGAGGGATAGAAATGTTACAAAACAAATACTACAAAATATGAATGGGTCCAGATAGTGACATAGTGGTTAAGATACCTGAATCCTGCATGACCAACTATATAGTTCAAGTTCCACACCCAGAGAACCAGCAGTTAGCATAATGGCTATGTCACTGGACTCCCACGTAGTCGACCACGGTTCGTGTCCCAGACCCAGTGGCTTAAAACTCACGCCGGGTGCGTGTGCGTGCATGCCCAAGATCCCGAGAGGAGAATGGAGGAGAAGGGATTGTGGCGTGACCATCCCCCCTGGGGGTGATTTCTTGCTTTCTGTCTCTCTGTCTCTCTCTGGCGAGCACATGCGCCCTATAGCAAAAAAAACTCTCAAAAAAAAAAAAAAGTTCCACACCCAGTGGCTTGAGGAGCACACTGGGTATGTGCACATGCATGCCTAAAAACGGGATTACAGTATGGCCATCCCCCTTGGTGGGAGGTTGCTTTCCCTCTCAATCTATAGTCCAAGGGTGTACACCATCTAGCAAATTAAAAGGTGAATGGTAGAATCTAAGTGGTATTTGGGTGTTTACTGTAAAATTCTTTGAACTTTGCTCTTTTTGAAAATTTTTATAATAAAATTTTGGGGTGAAACCTTTATGGAAGAATACGAGAAATAGCTTTGTTATATTTGGATAGTCAGATTATAGTTATTTTTTTTTTTTTTTTTTTTTTTTTTTTTTTTGTGGAGAGGTTTTTTGCTATAGGGCGCGTGCGCTCGCCAGACAGACAGAGAGAGACAGAGAGATAGAAAGCAGGAAATCACCCCCCAGGGGGGATGGCCACGCCGCAATCCCTTCTCCTCCATTCTCCTCTCGGGATCTTGGGCACGTACGCACACGCGCCCGGCGTGAGTTTAAGCCACCGGGTCCAGGACTCGAACCGCGGTCGACTACATGGGAGTCCAGCGACATAGCCATTACGCTAACTGCTGGTCCCAGATTATAGTTATTTTGAAGAGAGTCTGCGAGGAGCTGGCCCTGTGGGCCAGGTTTAAAGGAGCCAGACCCCACATGACTGACTGCAGTTGAAATCCTGACCTTCTTGGCTCGAAAAATACCAGGCATGTGTGCATACATGCCCAAAATTCCAACAAGGAGAAATGGAGAAGGGATTGTGGCGTGATCACCCCTTTGGGGACTCTTTCTCCTTTTCGCTCTTCCTGTCTCTCTAGTGAGTGCATATGCCCTCTAGCAATTGAAAAAAAATTGCTCCTCCCCCTTTTTGGTAGAGGGTACATGTGCTTGCTGGGGTGGGTGGGGGAGGAGGAAGCACCCCCATAGGGAATGGTCACGTCGCAATGCCTTCTCTCCCTCCTTTCAGGATTTTGGACATACACACACAAGTGCCTGGCATGTTTTACAAATCCCTGGAGACTGGGACTCAAACTGCAAGGTCGGCCATATGAAATTCAGCTGTCTTAACCACCAAGCCATAGAACCAGGCTGCTGTTCTTTTTTTGACATTGAATATACTTATGGGGTGGCTTTTTAATATATGCATACAGTGTGTTATGATCAGATCAAGATAATGCATATCCCTTACCTCAAACATTTGCCACTATTTTGTTTTGGGGAAAAATACTGCTGTTTTTTCCCTTTAATTTGCTGTAGCATGCGTGTGCTCACTGAAAAAAGAGATAGGGAAAGTAAGATAGCACCATCCAGGGGATATTTTCACATCGCAGTCCCTTCTCCTCCAGTCTCCTCTTGGGAGCGTGGACATGTGTAAATATGCGTTTGGCATGTTTTTCAAGGCACTGGGTCTGAGACTTGAACTGTGCAGTTGGCCAGGTGGGATCCAGCAGTCTTAACCACCATACCACAAGCTTGCCCTAAAATATTGTGGTTTTGTTTTGCTTTAAGTTTTTGTCATAGGGTGTATGTGCTCTCTGGAGTCAGAAAGCCAGAAAGAGAAATCACCCCTGAGGGGTAGGTCACACTGCATTCCCTTCTCTATTCTCTTCTCGAGGTTTTGTTCATGCACCCACACGCACCTGCAGGGAGTTTCAAACTGTCAGATCCAGGACTTAACCCATGGTTGGCTGTGTAGGAGTCCAATGTCTTAACCACCATGTCACCTGCTGGCTCTAATTTTAAGGTTTATTATCATGTGTTAATTCTGTTAATGCTTTAATATTTTATAACGCATTCTTCTCTTTTTAAAAATTTCACCTGTATGTTTTTTTTGGTGTTTTTTTTTTTTTGGAGAGGTTTTTCGCTATAGGGCACGTGTGCTCGCCAGACAGATAGAGAGAGACATAGAGACAGAAAGCAAGAAATCACCCCCCAGGGGGGATGGTCACGCCGCAATCCCTTCTCCTCCATTCTCCTCTCGGGATCTTGGGCACGCACGCACACGTGCCCAGCGTGAGTTGTAAGCCACCAGGTCCAGGACGCGAACCGCGGTCGACTACATGGGAGTCCAGCGACATAGCCATTACGGCTAACTGCTGGTTCCCACCTGTATGTTTTGATGAAGTTTCTATTTTAAATTATGAGTAATTTAGCACCAGAGTTTCATGTAAGTATTCAATTATCCCAAAGTGATTTGTTCCGCAATTTGAAAACCATTACATTTATAGATTAACTGTCTTTGAAGTAAGAAAATCATGCATTTTAAGGGATATAGGATCTGTTAATTATACTGAAATACTGTCTTTTCTAGGTCATCCATGCCTGGCTTATTATCTCATCTCTATTGTTGCTGTTCTTTTTTTCATTCATTTACTTGGGGTAAGTGGTGAAATTTGGTCTCTTTTTCAGAAATTAATTGTATTTATTTATGCTCTGTAGCTGTCAGTTAAAGTCATGTCTCTTGTTAGTGGATTACCCTTAAGTTACAACTGTTTCCACATATGGTTAATATTTGGTATTTAAAAGACAAGTGAATAATAATATTTTTTAAAGAATTATTTATTTATCATTATTTTTCAGTTTTGACCAGAGAGAGAAAGCGAGCGAGTGAGCTGGGTCCAGAACTCAAACCTTGATTGGCCATGTGGGAGTCCAGCATCCTTAAGCACCATGCTACCTGCTGGCCTGGTGAATATTATTAATTTCTTTAATTGCTTATAATAAGGATCAAAACCTTTTTTTTTGGGGGGGGGGAGTTTTTGCTATAGGGTGCGTGCACTCACCACAGAGACAGAAAGTAAGAAATCACCCCCCAGGAGGGATGGCCAACCGCAATCCCTTCTCCTCCATTCTCCTCTCGGGATCTTGGGCATGCACACACACGTGCCCGGTATGAATTTAAGCCACTGGGTCTGGGACTTGAACCACATTCGACTACATGGGAGTCCAGTGACATAGCCATTACGCATCTGCTGGTCCCAAAACAATTTCTTCTGTTGTCCTTTACTTATAATAAAAATTAAAGCAATTGAAGACTGCTGTTAATTCTTTTATATATTTATTTATTTAATTTGTCATTATCATTTTTTAATTTGACCAGAAAGAGAGAAAGGGAAAGTGAAAAAGCAAGCTACCAGGTCCAGGACTCAAACCATGGTCTGCCGTGTGGGAATCCAGTGCCTTTAGCCGCGACACCACCTGACGGCCCCAAAGACTGCTGTTAATTCTAAGCATTTTTCAGCATTACATTTTTTCTACTTCTAGGAGAAATCTGTGAATTAAAATGTTAAGAAAGAACTTCAAAAGTATACATAGGCTGGGGACCAGCAGTTAGCGTAATGGCTATGTCGCTGGACTCCCACATAGTCGACCGCGGTTTGCGTCCCGGACCCGGTGGCTTAAAACTCACGCCGGGTGCGTGTTTGTGCGTGCCCAAGATCCCGAGAGGAGAATGGAGGAAAAGGGACTGTGGCGTGGCCATCCCCCCCTGGGGGGTGATTTCTCGCTTTCTATCTCTTTGTCTCTCTCTGCCTGTCTGGCGAGCGCACGTGCCCTATAGCAAAAACCTCTCCAGAAAAAAAAAAAAGTATATATTGCTTAGGAAACTAGATCCCACATGGCCAACCACTGTTTGAATCTCAACCCTGGCAACTCAAAAAACATGCCAAGTGCATATACTTATATGCCCCAAATCTGACAGCATGGAGAAATCAAGGAAAAAGGATTCTGATGTTACTATCCTACACCTCATTGGGTAGTGTTCTCTCTCTCTCTTTCTCTCTCTCTGACTGCATGTACCCTCTGGCAATTTAAAAAATATATGTAAACACTAATTAATTGATTTTCATACTTTTACAATGCTATTTATTTATGTCTCCCATGAAAGAAACATACACACACTGGCGGGCATTCTCCAACAGGGTCTTCACATTTTTATCCATCCAGTCTCAGTCATCCTTATCACAGTACGTATTACCCGGTCTATTCCTGGAGACCTCAAGATGTGATTTAGTGATCTCCTTATGTGTGTTCAGCATTTGGAGAGCATTGTGTTACCATTGTGCCACATTTCAAATTAAAGTTTTTGTGAAAACATCACATATAATGTAGAAAAAGGGGCCAGCAGGTGGTGCAGAAGTTAAGGCAGCTGGATCTCACATGGTTGACTATGAGGTTCTAGTCCCAGACCTGGCAACTTAAAAAACACTGGGCACATGTGTTTGCATGCCCAAAATCCCGAGAGAGAATGGAGGACAAGCATGGTCATCCCCTCTTGGGTGGGGCTTTTCCTCTCCCTTCAGTGAATACACATACCCTATAGCCAACTAAAAACTAAAATGTGTGTACATCTCCAAAATCCTGAGAGAAAGGAGGAGAAGGGATTGTGGCGTGGCTGTTCCTCTGAGGAGTGCTCTTATTTGCCCTTGCTCTGCAGTGAGTGCCACACACCTTATAGCAAAAAAAAAAAAAGTAGGCTTTATTTTTAATTTTACAGGATATTTCTAAAATTTACTTGGAAAATCACTTAGAGTGAAGTTATCCAGAAAGATTCTGAAAAGAAAAAAAAAAAAATGAAGGGACACTAGGCCTACTTGATGAGAAATTACAAAACTACAATGATTGGGAACCAGCTATTAGCATAATGACTATGTTGCTGGACTCCCATGTAGTCGACCGCAGTTCACGTCCTGGACCCAGTGGCTTAAAACTCACGCCGGGCACGTGTACGTGCGTGCCCAAGATCCCAGGAGGAGAGTGGAGGAGAAGGGATTGCAGCGTGACCATCCCCCCCGGGGGGTGATTTCTTGCTTTCTGTCTCTCTCTGTCTCTCTGTCTGTCTGGCGAGCACACGCGCCCTATAGAGAAAAATCTCTCCAAAAAAAAACCTGCAATGATTAAAGTAATGACACCTGTCCATAAACAGGTGATGAGTAGTAAAGATCAAAAGTCTAGAAAAATGCTTAATGCTTAAATATATAGTGGAATTTAGTTTATGAAAAAGGTGGTATTGCAGGCTGTAGATGGATCATTTAGTAATTGGTGTTGGGATAACTAGGTAGTTATCTGGAGAAAAACATTTTAATTCCTTTCTTATATCTGTACTAGAATGAATTCCAAATGGATTAAAGATCTAAATATGAAAATGAAACTATTAACTAAAGGAAATACGTGGAGGAAGGAATGAAAAGAAATGTATATGTAAATGTATATGTATATGTATTGTAGTAAGAAAGGATTAAAAAAATCCACCATAGGCCATGCACACTCATCAGAGAAATAAACACAGAGAAAGAGAGAGGTGGGCAGAAAGTGAGAAAACCCCTTCCTCTCCCAGGGGTATGGCCGTGCCACAATCCCTTCTCCTCCACTCCTCTCTCAGGATTTTGGGCACACATACACATGTGCCTGGTGTATTTCTGAAGCTGCCAGTTCCAGGACTCAAACCCCACACTTCGCCATATAGAATCCAGCCGCCTTAAACTTTATGCCATCTGCTAGCCCCTCCAGGAGGGGCCTAATTTTAAATGTGATGCAATAGTTAATGCATTTAAAAAATGATAAGTTTATCTCCATTTAAAATTTTTTTTCTTAAATATTTGCCAGAGGGTACATGTGCTTGCCAGAGATACTGGGAGGCAGAGAATAAGAAAGCTTCCCCAGGGAGACCAGCAAGTAGTGTGGTGGTTAAGGCACTGGACTCCCACATAGTTGACTGTGGTTCAAGTCCCAGACCCAGCAGTTTGCTTTCTCACTTTCCTTGTCTCTCTCTCCTCCTCTGTTTTTCTCTGGTGAATTAAATAATAATAATAATGATTAATTAATTAAATCTTTAAAAAGAAAAAAAGAAAGCTCCCCCCATGGAAAATGGGCATGCTGCAGTTCTTTCTCCTCCTTTTCTCTCTCTTTATGTCTGTAAAACCAAAAACTTAGAAGAAGAAATGGGCAAAGGATATGACAGAATAGTTATCAGAAAGAGGAACACAGATTACATTTAAATATGTGAAAACATGAATACCTTGGGTTACCAGCAGTTAGCGTAATGGCTGTGTCACTGGACTCCCATGTACTCGACCACAATTCGAGTCCCAGACCCGGTGGCTTAAACTCACTCCGGGCATGTGGGCGCGCGTGCCCAAGATCCCAAGAAGAGAATGGAGGAGAAGGGATTGCGGTGTGGCCATCCCCCCCGGGGGGTGATTTCTTGCTTTTTATCTCTGTGTCTCTGTCTGTCTGTCTGGCGAGTGCCCTATAGCAAAAACCTCGCCCCAAAAAAATACATACCCTTTTCATAAGACTAATGCTGATTAAAACTGTGTATTAAGTTAACAAAGATCAGACAGTTTGATGATATCCTAAGCTTGCAAAGATTCAGGGCAATAAACAGTCATGCATTAGTATGTAACTTTCTTTAAGAACAGGAGCCGGCAGGTGGTGTGGTAGTTAAGAGCACTAGACACTCCCATGGCTGACACAGTTTGTGTCCTAGACCTGGCAGCTTGTTTTGTCACTCCACGCCCCCACTCCTCATCTCTTGCTGGTCAAATTAAAATAAATAAATAAAGTTAAATAAAATAATTCTTAAAAAAAAAAAACAGTCTGAAATACCCATTAAAATATTAAATGCATGGGACATGACAGGGGTACAGCAGTAAAATGAGGTGCTCTGTGAAGCAGACCCACATGGAAAGGTTCTGGGTTTTCATCCAGACATCCCGGTGTACACCAGGCAAGTGCATGCCCATGGTCTGGGGCTCCCTGAAGCTGAGGGTGGATTGTGGCACCAAAACTGTGTTGGAGGTTTGTTTCTTCTTTCTCCCTCTCTGTCTTTCTCATTCATGTAAGAAATAAATAAATGTTAATGACAAAAAAAATAGGGTCCATATGGTGGTATGGCAGTAATACAGTACTCTGTAAGGTTGACCCACATGTCAATGTTAGAGGGTCATGTCCCGTGACCTCCTGAACAAGCCAAGCACATGTGTGTCTGTGATTGATGGTGGCCAAAGGTGGGGGTGGGTTGCAGCATGAGGCCTTGTCAGGGATACTCCTCTCTTTTTCTCTTTCTTTTTTTCATTAAAAAAAAAAAAAAAGAAGAAGAAGAAGAAAAGAAAAGAAACTTAAATTACAAAGAAGAAAAGTAAAAAGTGACCAGACTCCCATCACCTAAAGATTAGTCCTATTGGGGCCAGCAGGTGGTATGTTGGCTAAGGTGCTCCACTCCCACATGGCTGACCGCAATTCCAGTCTGAACCTGGTGTCTTGCTTTCTCACATTCCCTCCCTCACTCCCTTCCTCCCTTTCTCCCTTTCTCCCTCTCCCTCTCCTTTTCTCTGTCTCTGGTGAGTGCATTTGCCCTGTCACAAACTAAAATATAATAACGACATGGGCCAGCAGATGGCGTAGTGGTTAACGTTGCTGGACTCCCATGTTATTCACTGTCGTTTGAGTCCTGGACCTGGGGCTTAAAACTCACACCAGGTGGGAGGGAACCAGCAATTAGCGTAATGGCTATGTCGCTGGACTCCCACGTAGTCGACCGCGGTTCGCATCCCGGACCAGATGGCTTAAAACTCACGCCGTGTGCGTGTGTGCCCAAGATCCCGAGAGGAGAATGGAGGAGAAGGGATTGCGGCGTGACCATCCCCCCGGGGGTTGATTTCTTGCTTTCTGTCTGTCTGTCTCTGTCTGGTGAGCTCACGCATCCTATAGCGAAAAACCTCTCCAAAAACAAACAAACAAAAAATAAAACTCACACCAGGTGCGTGTGCATGTATGCCCAAGATCCCAAGAGGAGAAGGAGTTGGGGCATGGCCACCCCCACCCCAGGGGGGTAATTTCTCGCTTTCTGTTTCTCTGGCAAGCGCATACACCCTATACCAAATATCTCTCTTAAAGAAATAGTAAATAATGATTAACAATAAGTAAAATAAATAATTCTTTCAGGGGTGGGGAAGGTGAGTCCAGTCATCCATTCAGGAATTAAAATATCAATCTTGAGCTAGCAGGAGGTGTAGTGTTAAGGTGCTGGACTCTCACCTGGCCAACTGTGGTTCAAGTCCCGGATCTGGTAGTTTGAAATTTATGTTGGGCACATGTGGATGCGTGCCCCAAATCCTGAGAATAAAAGGGAGGAGAAGGGATTGTGGTGTGACCATTCACTTTGGGGAGTGATTTCTCACTTTCTGTCTCTCTGTCTCTCCTATGAGCATACATACCCTATAGCAAAAAATCTCTCCCCCCCACCAAAAGAAAAAATATATATATATGTATGTGTGTGTGTGTGTGTGTGTGTATATATATATATATCCTCTCTCACACCGTTTCACATAAAGGGGGTCATATTTTTTAACAACATATTATGCCTATATGTTACATTTGTTTGTGTATCAATATATGTGTATATTTTTAAATGGCTGCACTACATTTTATTGTATGAATATTCATGTCCTAGTTATAAAATTTACTGGTGCATGTTTAATTTTTTTTCCAGTTTCAAATATTTTAAAATGGAATTTCTCGAAGTGTTGTATGACACTTGAGGTGGCATATGATCTTTTAGTTTTTGTACTTTTTTAAATAGTTATGGTCTTGATACTGGTTTTCCAATTATATGAATTATATAGAGCTTCCTATTAAAATAAGCTCACACCAGCAGGTGATGTGGTGGTTAAGGCATAGGACTCCAGCCTGGCTGACTGCATTTCTGGTCCCCGACCTGCAGCTTGCTTTCTCTTTCTCTGTCTCTCTCTCTCTTTGGTGAGCGCATGTGCCCTGTAGCAAATTAAGTAATAATAATAATGAATAAAGTAATTCTTTAAAAAAATAAGCTCAAAGAAAAAACGGAATTAATTTAAATAAAAGTGTTAAATGTTAACATAGATAATATGGGATACAATAAAAATATGAAGGCGTATGAATATATAATGTTTAGAAATTATCACTCTAAGAAATGTTTTGGTGAAAATTTTTGTTATGCAAAACTTTGAAAATCTGTTTAATATTTTTCAGGGAAGTATTTAAAACCTATAATGTTGCTGTGGACTACATTACTGTCGCACTGCTGATCTGGAATTTTGGGGTAGTGGGGATGATTTCCATTCACTGGAAAGGCCCCCTGCGACTCCAGCAGGCGTATCTCATAATGATCAGTGCCCTCATGGCCTTGGTGTTTATCAAGTACCTCCCTGAGTGGACGGCATGGCTCATCTTGGCTGTGATTTCAGTATATGGTAATACCCAAGACTGACATTTTGTTCATCACAGAAATGCCTCACTGGTGTGTTTTCCTTCCTCTCCTAGTTCTCTTGACATAGGGAAATGGTAAAAATGATATACCCTAGCTTTTTAGTAAATAATTAATTAGTTGTAATATCTTTGACATGTGAAAACTTCAAAAATTTTAGGTTCTTAAAATTTTTATTTTTTTAAAGACTCAGTTTAACTCAGTGTTGGATTAGTGGAAGGAGCCATGGACATCTGCTCATTATATTAAAATCCCATTTTTGTGATCTTAGAAAAGGGACTCAAGCTCTTTGAGCTTCAGTTTCCTCATGTACAAGTGGGAAACATTGCTTCTCAGGGTTATAAGAGTTAAGAGGATAAGGGTTAGGAGGTGGCATGGTGGTTAAGGTGCTCGACTTCCATATGGCCAACCATGGATCAAGTCCCAGATCTGGCAACTTAAAAATCACACAGGACACATGTGTATGCGTGCCCGCCCAAAATCCCAGGTAGAGAATGAGGATGAAGGGATTGTGGCGTGGCCATTCCCCATGGGGAAATGGGGGTGATTTCTCACTTTCATTCTCAGTGTCTCTGTCACATGCCTTATGACAAAACAAAAAACAAAAGAGTTCGGTGAATTGAGTATATGCTATATATTCGTTTTTGAAAAGCACTAGCAGAGTGCTTGACACACAAAATGCTCAAATCACTTTTCAAATCAAAATTAGGCTTCCTATTCTTTTTTTTTTTTTTTTTTTT